GTGTATGACTTTTTTTTTTCAATATAATATACTCGAAAATATTTTATTAGAAATTCTTGAAAAATATATTAAAAATAAATCGCACGTTACTTATTTGTTTATAAATATACAAAACCAATAAATATAAGATCAAAACATGTTTTTAATAGTCAATCACACTGCTATTGGTAACACCAAAATGAATCTTCTATCATCAGAATGTAAGTTTATTTATTATTGGTATGTATTTCGGTATACAAGACCCTCGTCGGCAACACATAAAAATATATAGACGTCTATATAATAGCTTAAAAGTTTTTAGATATTGTAAACCTGTTTATAATGTAATCCTAATGGTATTGTGCAGTGTGGGTGGAAATAAATCTTAAACAGGTATGTTTTAAATTGTAGATAGTAATTAATGTTTTTATAACAGATATTTACATATTTTTATGTATGGCTTATGAAGGTCTTGCGTACCGAAATGCATACCATTCTGATGATAGAAGTGTCGTTTTGATGTTAACAGTGTGATAAGTCTCTGTTATCTCTATTATAGTATTTGAGATATTAGTTTTAATAATAATAATATTATTATTATTATTAACATAGTAACATTTTATTTGTTTGAATTGCAAAATGGTGATTAAAAAACCCCGAAAACCCTCGTGGGCACGGCCTCGTGGACAATTGATGAATGATTGTCACAGTTTCTTGCTTCTCACATTTTATCCTCTTCTGTTCCTGATATTTCATGCTTCTTCCTCAATCTTATCCTGATTTACAGTGTAAACGTTTTCAAGTCTTCTCTCGTGAGATGTCCGTAAAGAATTAGTATTGCTTCGTAACAAAATGGCGGCTACTGTTAATCACTCTCCTTCGGATTCATTTCGCTAAAGAAATTTTTCTTATATTTTAATCATTAATAATCAATTGTACGACATTTTTAACAATACAAAACATGTTCGTATGAAGAATTTTACTTTTGTAACCTATTGTATTTATTTATTCAATTGTATTTTGTTTTTTTTTTTCCTTCAGTATACAGTATAAGAAAGATTAGACGGGATTTCCTGTTTGCATGTCACTCCATTGTAATTTTGTAACGTGGTATATATTTTTCTTTTAGATTACATACTGATAAAATCTTATATTTGTATCGGGAGGTCGTTCACGCCGTATCCTGTTTTAGATTCCAGACATGTCTCGTTAAATCTTAACGACTTCTATCTTCCCTCCTTAATGTATAATCCAGGTAGTTGTAGCAGATCCAGGTAGTATTTTGATCCTTCCCAATTCTCATTTTATCGACTTTATAGCCTTTTTTTTTTAAAATATATATTTCATTTTGCGTATTTTTCTTTAATTTATTTGCCTCGTACACTTAAACTGCTATTTTTCTTTAATGATCAGTACGGATAGTAATGCCAAAATATTTATGAACGTCCAACGTATGTTACTGATACGATCAATGTACACGTGACCTCCATTGCCGTACTTCCATAATTAATATATATAAAAAATGGGCATGCATCAATATATAGAGGAACTTATAATGTTGTCCAATACATTTATTCTCTGCTCTCTGTTAAGTTTCAATTTAATATAAACATTTTAGATTATTTAGGATCCTTAAAAATACATTAATAGTTCAATAAAAAGAAAAAAACCTTTCCTTCAATTTCCACACGAAAAGACATTAAAACGTTTGGATGTCCACTTGTAAACTTCGTTACTCTAAAAACGTAAAAATCTGGACGTTACAGAAGATATTCACTCTTCAACTGTTCTTTACGTCGCTTAAATTTTTAAAAATTTACGCGTAAATATCAGAATTCTTAAAAACGTATCAATTTTAAACGTAACACGTCGCGAGTCGCATCACATATCTAATACGAATGGAGAATGCAATAGACGTCTTACGTTTGTGCGTGATATAAATTTTATATATAGACTATATCTCTTTCTACACTGTTTATACGGAGGTTATGGCCTAGCTCCTTGTCCTCTTGACAACCAAAACGATATAAGAATAACACTGTGCAAACCGTGTAAAAACAAGTCACTTCGCGGTAGACGATCGCCACCACACAATTTAAAATCGTAAACATATAAATCGAGGCAACTGTCAAAGACCTCACGCGATTTGTTTTCGTTGATAATGACTTTCTTTTCCTTATACATGCATGCTATTAAGTAGGCCAATAGTAAAATAGAAGAGCGAATGTGTACAAAACGCGATCATCCTCGAAAACGGACCCTTTTAATGGAAGCCCGTCTTCGCTTCTACTCTGCCACTCGTTTTAATAAATATCTTTTCTAGACCCGTAAAAATAGGGAAAACTGTAAATTTACTGCATTATTGAGGCGGAATTTAGTAGGTAACGACCGATACTAGGATTATCGAAAATATTTCCAATTTGTATCGATTTGTTCATTACTCTTCGATGCGTAGGTACCTTACAAACTACTTTTAATATTCCGACTTCGATTTTTCGGGCATCTACAAGTTCTATCTTTCGTTGGCCAGATTACCTTAGCGGTTCGATATCTTCTCGCAAGTTTTTATCGCTCGTTTCTACCTCTTCGTCGTAAGCGTTTCGATTAATACATTGCAGAATCGCCATAACTTTGCAGAAATCTCTCACTTTGCCCAAAAGTAATGCGGAAAAATTAAAAAAAAAAAAAAAATCCGAGTTTCGATAGAGCAAGGTTATAATTCATATAGAAATGCGTAAACATATTTATTTCTTATAATGATAGACGAATGATAGCAGTCGATAATTCTCGCTTCTGTTTATTCCGATTCGTTGGTGTTTCTTTTTTCCGTATGGGTCGAACAGAGTGAGAACACGTTCCTTACAGGTCCATTAGGTATTCACTTGCTTCTTATTCCTCCTCCTTTACGTCTAACAAGAGAAATAAAAAAATTATCCAAGGATAACTCTCGTCCACTCTTGTGTTTCGAAATTTCATAAGTCGTGTATCGCGATATCTAGCAATTCGTTAATTATCAATGTATTAAAGGTTAGTTTGATGTCGAGGGGGTGTACTTTTTCAACGGGATCGAATTGATTTCTCATTCTACGGTTTACGGCTCTCTTTACCCATAGTTGTTTTGGAATGGCGCTAGAGTAAAAATGGCGGACGAACGATTTCCTGCGTGTAGAAAAGATTAGTTTTAATAGTGAGAAGGCGCGACTCGACTAGAAAATTAGAATTAAGATCGTGCTAAAAGCAATTTCTTGGTCGACTCCGATCGTAACTTCGGATAATTGTATTCTAGAGGGATCGCGCCGCCGATTCTTACACGCGCGTTAAAACGTTTACGTGACGTCTCGATCTTGTGTAAGTGAATTTGGTTGGCATCGATCTAAAAGCGCCATTTATCTCAAATTGTTTCCTCGTCTTTTCCTCTTAATTCCATTAAGAATGCATAATAAGAACTCTAATAAATAGAACCATTTTTGTTCCGAAACGCGTGACGACAAACCACGTGCCACACTCCGTTACTTAACCTCGTTTTCTACCGAATTTTCCGCATAACTTAATTCTATATAACTATCTCGCCGCATACGTAACATTTGCAGTCCACCCGACTTCTTCCATTTCGCTACTAGGTGGACGATTTTCAAATTAAACAATGAATGTTTAGTGTATCTACTCAATGGTTTGACTTTAATGTTCATTTCTGTCAAGCGAATACAACACGGGAACAAACTCGAAGCTGCGGAACCAGAAATAACCATCCAATCGGAAAGAAACAGGGAGTAGATTCGTAACCGCTGCCGATCCGCTACTACAAGAGAAACGTGACTTTACGCATCACGTTTGTTGCCGGTATGTTACTGACATCGGAGGGGGAACAATACTTTAAAAACACAGCGACCAAATGGCTGCTCCACCCTCTCAACCAGTAAAGCTAGAAGAGATTCATAATTACCGTGCAGTACTCGAAAGAAATGCCTCCTGTATCTTTACGTAAATATGGAGTCGAAAATCTATAGATACCAACTTTTCTCTATAATGACGAAAGATACTTTATAAAGTTGCTTTCGTCGTAGTTTCTTTCGACATCACCGTCAGTCGATGGGTTGAAGTGGAGTAGGTTTGCGCCCCGGGTGCAGTTCTCGACCCACTTTACGAACGGACCGACCATAGCTCTTCTATCGATCTGTTTCTGTTCGGTAGTGATCATTCCTTCCCTTTTGTGTTGGCCCGGCTTGTTTACTAGTCTCTCCCCGTACCCCGCGGCTCTACTTTTTCCCCGTTCTGTACTAATTTCGATGTTCCGCCCTTCTATTGAGGATGGCCCACTATTCTAAAAGTACCATCCGAGTGTAGTGTTTACGAGCGCGACAATTGAGCGTGCGCGATTATGTCACCTGTCGCGATATTTTCCGGTTAGGAAGAGTAAAGCATCTTGACAGTGAGCCAATATATATATCTATCCGTGGCAAATGGATATAAACGACCGCTTTCTCCCATATAAATTGGTATATTTTATATAAATTGCCGGAAAACTTTGTTTTTCGGTGTCTTTCGCAGCCTTCGTTCCGATTTATTGCTGTCGATTCTTGTTCGATAAAGGAGAAATTTCTGCCCCGTCGCTCCTTTCCCCCTCTCCTCTACTTCTTCGTATCTTTAATTTTAATAAATTTTCTCGTCTATTTTTACTTTCTTTATTAGAAGTGGCACAAAATAAAATTTACGTTTCATAAAATAGGGATAAATTTTAATAAATAAAAACAAGTGGCGAAAATCCGAACAAAATAACCCCGAATTACGATGTCGTATCGCCATCTAGTGATTTAAACAGTTATCAACAAATTCGAAAATGTTTTAAATTTTTATATTTTATTAAATTATAATTAAATATTATTAGTAATAAATAATAATTTTAATAATAATAATATATTTAGATAGTTGTTAAAAACTGTTTTAAAATTATCAGGTTAGGGTCATTCGAAATCTAATGTTTTCGCCGCTAGAGGTATTCCGGTAGTCAAGTTAGAGAGGAGAGATAGAGGTGAGCGTGGTTTTAGTAACTAATTCCAGATGATATTTATTTAATTGTGTATTATCTATTAGTTAAATAAGTTTATAACACGTGCTAAATTCTCAAACAGCATTTATCATGTATAAAATGGCTTCTCATTTCATATTCTACGTTGCATTACACTAAAGAGTTTAGGTGCAGTTGGAATGTTTCTGGACTTCATTAATATGATAACTTTCATCTGATTTCGTGTTAATGTAGTCCAGAAGCAACAGTTTACATTATATTGTATGCAGGATGCCACTATATAAAGTTGTGCGTGACAGACAGACACTTTATATGAATCATAGAATACTTTGCAGGACATACAGTTTTATATGCATATTATTTCTTCACAGTTGTACAATTCAGTCCCTTGAAAGACATAAGATTTAGTAAATGTGACGAGTGGTGGTGATTTGGATGGAGAAGAGCATTCTTGTGCGTTCCCGACGAGATTAGTGTTTGCATTTGGCTCGCGTAACGGCTTCGAATGGCTGGCGGAGTCTCGATGTTACGTAGCAGGGGATGTGGGCTTACCTCCGCCCTTGTGTCGAGATGACTGTGACTATGTGCGGAACGGTTGTCGAGTGATGGCGTGCCTCGACTGACGTGGAAGGCGGAGGTATCGGTTTGAGAAAAAATGCTCTTTACCATTGTTACTCGTCACATTTTGCCTGATTACTTGTTAAGTAATTTAAAAAGTAGATGTACTTTCTGTTACTCATACCATAAACTAAATTTTTAATATATTGCAAGTTTCTGTTCTTTCTATACTTTATTGTTTATATTAATCTGAAATTGTAGACTGTTAATATTCGTAGATCTCTTGCTAAAATAAATTTTAATGGATTAGACCAGAGGTCGGCAACCTTTCGGTGGTGTTGTGCCGAACCTAAGTTACGGCATTTTTCCGGGTGCTGACGTGATTCTATCAGTTTTGTTATATATAGTATTGAAATTGGTCCGGTTATAATGGACTTCAAAAATTAATGATTAAAATTTCATTTTTACTATGTTTCTATTTGATAAGAGTGCCGCCGAAAATTGTCCCACATGCTGTAGATTGCCGACCCTGGATTAGACTGTTACTTTTAGAAATTCTTCGGTTTATGTAAAAGCGTGATACGTAAGATAAAGCTACATGTACGGTCTTCTCGTGTCGACTGCAAAGTAATGTTCCTTTGCTATCTCGGTCGTTTGGTTCGGTAACAAAATTGCCCACAAATCTGATATTACACTTACACTATGAAAATTAACTTATTTAGAATTAACATACTGTACACTATTCGGTACTTATGGGTTAACCCATAGAATAGAATTAACATACTGTACACTATTCAGTACTTATGGGTTAACCCATAAGTACCCACTATTCTAGCTAGACACCAACCAAATGCCGAAATTTTATTGGGCAAGTTTAAGGCTAATTACTAAATGAATTACGTAACAAATATGGCTCTAGAGGTAAGCGTTAGGCGCCATCTTGTATTAACATTAATAATTATAAATTAATTTATTTATTTAAATAATTTAGAACCGCTGGGAGAAAAAATTGGTCCGGAGCAGGACTTGAACCCACAACTCCTGCTTACGGCGCAGATGTGTTGCCAGTTACGCTATCCAGACCTCCAGTCTGATCTCCTCTTCCTCTTCCTCTTCCTCTTCCAGCATACATAAGCTAATGTTATAACCATCGACGGTTATTACAACGCCAACTGGGGACACATCCAGTGCTCACATCCTATAAGGCACTCAATCGGCCATCGCAAGCCCTAGCAAGGCATAATATATACAAACAAACTTAATAAACTTAAGCTATATTTAAATTTAAATAATCTGTTTAATCTTGTTTAACAATTTAAAGTCATTTATATTTTATAGTGTTCAAATCCAGGCCAGAATTGTTAGGAATTTTTATAGATCAATCAGCCAGTTAAGTGCCTTATAGGACGTGGGCACTGGATGTGTCCCCAGCTGGCATTGTAATAACTGTCGATGGTTATAGCATTAGCTTATATATGCTGGAAGAGGAGATCGGACTGAAGGTACAGATAGTGTAACTGGCAACGTATCTGCACGGTAAGCAGGAGTTGTGGGTTGGAGTCCCGCTCCAGGCCGATTTTTTTCTCCCAGCAGTTCTAAATTATTTAAATAAATTAATTTATAATTATTCATGTTAATACGAGATGGCGCCTAACGCTTACCTCTAGAGCCATATTGGTTACGTAATTCATTTAGTAATTAGCCTTAAACTAGCACGATAGAATTTCGGCATTTCGTTGGTGTCTAGTTATATTATGTATCGGGTCTAGCGGTGTTGTTTGTATTTACACTACAGTATTAAAGAAAAGTTTTAACAAATTTGTTACTATAAGAATAATCTTTTATTTATAAACTGTTAATAAAAGATCCAAGAAAAGCATATTGTATAGGAAGGAATTATATTTTAAGAAATATAAAATATACAGTCGACCCCCCTATAACACTGTTGATAATTCCGTTTTATATGAATTCCATGTTGTACGAGTCACTTAGATTTTACAAAAAATACGTGAGCAGTTCACAGCCTGGCACACGTATTTGTAAAATCTAAGTGACTCGTACAACATGGAATTCATATAAAACGGAATAATCAACAGTGTTATAGGGGGGTCGACTGTATTTCCTTTCTATATTGATTTTACTGATTTTATCAATAATACATTAATAAGTCAAACTACAGCAAATAAACAAAATTAGGAAACATATTAATGTACAATACTGCATAAATATATGCAGACTATGATAAAAATTTAATTCAAAATGTCACAAATGCACTGTAAAAAATTCAATTAAATTTCTTGAAACAACAGAAAAAGCAGTAAGTGCATCTGACTCTGCTGTGTGATCAGAAAACTTAAGCTATATTTAAATTTAAATAATCTGTTTAATCTTGTTTAACTAATCTAGTCTATAAAATATAAATGACTTTAAATTGTTAGTGTTCAAATCCAGGCCAGAATTGTTAGGAATTTTTATAGATGATGTGTTCAAGATGTATTGGTCTCTTTCGTATTGCTGATACCGAAAGATTGCATTCTTAACTGCAGCATGCAACTGATCCAATGAAATCTCATATGCGCTGCAGTTACGAATTACAGTTTTCATTAAAATTGTCGGTAATTAAATGTGTAATGCATGAATAAGCAAATCATAGTTGAATACGAACGTTTTTGTAAATCTAGCTGGCGTGGACTTTGTATAGCACCCCTAATGATAATTTTTGGAACTTTTTCCATACAGCTCTTTGCCAAGGTGTGAAATATTTGCAAACCAAATTTAATGAAGTTTTGCTCATTGGTTTTTTCTACAAGTGGAGCTTAATAGGATAACTTTAATGTGAATTACCTGGTATTATAGTATGACATACAAGTTTTAAATTTTGTTTCTGGAACATCATGTATATCCTGTGTTTTCAAATTATTGTGAGCTGAAGTTGGTCTAAATAAAGGTTCACAATCCTTTATTTAAACTGTTAGTCCCTAAAGTAGCTGTATTTTCTTTTCAAATCTAACAACAAAAATGTTTTTTTTCCCCCATATATTAATGTAAATTATTATTAGCATAATTAAGAATAGTTTTAATATAAAACATATTTCAGTGTATTTAACAAATTTTATTTAAATTTTTCAATAATCTGTATAGTTAACAGGCTTAAAGTTTGAGAAAATGCTTCAGAATCGTCTAGGACTCTTTCCTCGAGCGGTCTATGCCACCTTCCGACGCAACATGGGCATCAGTGCAGTTCTGTTACAGAAAACACCAACTGATCCAATACAAAAGCTGTTTGTTGATAAATTAAGAGAATATACACAAAAGAGCAAGTTAGTATCAAAGGTTTTTATGCAATTTTAATTATATATAGTTTTTAAGGTATAATATTTTGTCATGGGTAATTTATGGAATTAAATTTTTAGACTTAATTTTTTAATGAAACAATCTCAAAATATTAGTCTACATCAGTTGTTCTCAAACTTCTAAGTACCTCTTGGACAGAAATATGAATTGTACCCCCTTGTGTAGACTGGACAGGCTTCTACATGTGCATCTTGGATCATTACTGAACAGCAAGAGTCTTATGCACTCATTCAGTCAGTAGTTTGTGAAACAAATAAAATTAATTTCCAAAATATATTGTCACGCACATAATCAAGTATAACACTTAGACAGCCACAACCATTTTGTCGATGTATGTTGGGCTACATGTACAGTACAATCAGTGGGAATAATGTGCTTGATGTGATGAACATAAATTTTTTATATTAGGTTTAATTTGAGACAATTTAAAGTGCTGTATTACATCAGCCTTCACATTTGAGTCAAACGTATTGGTACTTTTCAGTTAATGGGATGTCAGTTGTTTTTATGCAATTTTTAGAGGATTTATACATTTAATTTTTCTAATATTTTTCCCAAAATGTTTACTAATGTATAAACTTACAACAAACTTTTCCCATATTACATGGCAGGCATAAACCTGTGGATTTTGTGTATCACTGCTGTAAACATTTTGGTCTTTGAGTGCAATTGACACAACATAAATTTCATTAGATATGAATCTAAACGTTGACAGGAAGTGCTGTGCTGTTTTTATTTCTCCATTTAGCACTCCTCTATGTTTTGCATATGGCAACTGATTCCCAGATCTACAAAGTTATACTTGTTATATTATATGTTGTATAATGCACAAGACTGACAAAACTTAAATTATTATTTATTACTACTAAAGAGGAGACACTCGTTATGGACTGTATGACAGACGACAGACGGCTTTCGTTTTTTGTTGGCCGCTATGTGTCGCCACCAGTACATATCGTAACAATACTTATGGTTAACTCACAATTGTTCATATCAGGCCTCTTCTAACTTATCATTTTTGTGCACTTTCCAACAGTTGGAGTAGATTACACTGCCTTCTGTTACATTATCTCTTATTGACGAACAATCAGATATGGTGACTAAGAAACACTCTTTTGACTTGTGGCATATCCTGCCAAATACCCACTGCTGTGGAAGAACATGTCCAACATGTTGTTTTCTGCATGTAAATAGACTTTCGTCCACCTCTACAGCTTTGTTTGAACTTCCTATTTTTATCACAGGTTGAGAAATTAATGAATTGGCACATACCTCATGCATATAATTATTCCAATCAACAGTCATACTGAGATTAATTCCTAGCTGTAGTTGAGAAAATTCTACAGAAGTTAATTCAAGACACCAGAAAAATAAATCGAAGAGCAGTCAAAAAAAGAAATAAGGGATCCTTCAAACCAGTTTTGACTTCGCGAACCTTAATTTTCATGGCACAAACGAATGTTGCATCTCCATTTTGGTGCTTCAGAAGTAGTAAAATACAAATTCATTTTGCAACTTCTTGATTGAAGACATTCAGCACATACCTTTAACTTGGAAAAATGAAATGCAGTTTCTATCTTTTGGCAATTTCCAAATTGTGAAATCCATACACACACATGAAAGAAAAAATGAACAATTACCATTAACATCAAAGACAACATTAAAGTATCTAGGTATGTTTTGCAATGCTTCTCCAGAGAAATGTAATTTACATATCCACATGATATTAATATGCAAAGTAGTTTAGGAATTAATGATCAATTTAAATCAAAAATTTATATTAATTTAGGATTTTTAATCATAATGCATGAAAAATTATGTTTTATGTATAATTTACATACAGAAAGTGACATTGAACATTATCCAATGAAATCGATGCAAAATATACAAATCTTTTTAGGAATTTAACATGTATTGTCAATTGTTGGTTTTCTTACCTATCACCTTTTTATTTAAACTTGATTTAAAATTACAAATGAGTTATTTTTTGTCCAGTATTCTTTATTTAAACTCTAAACCAGGGGTGTCCAACCTTTTTGTTTCTCTGGGCTGCATTGGAAGAAGTCAAAAAGTTTTGGGCCCCAAGTATATATAATATATACTTGTGGCCCAATATATAAGTATATTTAAAAATTAACATGTCTAGATTATAATAATAAGTATTAAAACTTTATCAAGAAAAAAGGATATTTTAAAAAATTACTTCTACAGACACTTTCAATTTTTACTTAGAAATTGATAAATTCATTTATTATAAAAGAGACTAAAGAAAATTTATTTGAAAAACACAAATATTTGTTTTATTTCGGTCTCTAATTAATAAAAAGCGACGAAACACCATTTTAAAGTGCATTTTTATTCAATTAATATAATTATAAATAATATGTAGCCGAAAAAGTAGCCAAAGCGCCAAATGATATTTTTTACGTCAAGCAAAAAAAAGTAGCCACATTTGGCGCAATGTAGCCAAATCTTGCAATGTTGGAAGAAATACTAAATAAAGCTGCAGTTGTGAATCAAAGGATTACAGACCCAAGTGCGGAGAAAAAGAGGCAAAGAACAAAAGATAAAGAAGTGAAAAAGGTTGAAAAATTACGGGTCCATATTTGCTTAACAGAAGATCTATTTAACGTTTCTCACTACTACATCTTTTGTCCTTTCTCATCTTTCCCTCCTTTTCCGAAATTTGGGTCTATAATCTTTTGAGTCACAACTCCAGCTTTATTTAGTAATCCTTCGGCATTCACACATCTCCAAGTATTTGAAAATATTTTCTTTCCACTCAAAAATAAAATATGAATAAAGGTTTACGGCTTTGTGAAACTTCTTTTTTGAGTTTATGCCATTGAAATAAATAAATAAATAATAATAAATTAAAACATTTGTCGGTTTTATTTACACGTTTATTGGGCCGCATTGGGACTTGCCTTGGGCCGCATGCGGCCCGCGGGTTGGACACCCCTGCTCTAAACATATATTATGAGAATAAAGAAACATAATCAAGCATGGGAATACAGTTTCAGCTGGCATACCGTTAACTGAAAAGTACAGAAGTGTCAATAGAATCAAATGTGCCAGTGCCAGTGCCAGTGCCAGTGCCAGATAGAAAGCTGTATAATGTTGGAAAGCACTCAAATTTCACTTCCTCTGCATAGCTCACCAGAAAATTCAGTTTTGTCACATGTTGAACACTGTGGCAGGACTACTCTAGGGACCTAAACTGAATTTATTAAGGGAAGGAAAAATATCTGCCAAATATGCAACTCTTTAGTTATGAGCTGAGTCTAGACGACAATTGCCCAACTCTAAAGATGCTCCCAAAAAAAAAAAAAAAAAAACGTTTCATCACATAGCACCATTGTGTGTATCATCATTACCTCGCAAGAGCCAGCAGACTGGTGTATACAGAAAAGTTACATGCTCATTACCCATTTTGCTGCAGATAGAAGTAAATATGTTAGCATTCATGGGTCTTGCCTTTATAAAGTTTATAAAGGCAAGGCCCATGAATGCCCTTTATAATTTTTTACCACTTCATTGAGGGTAATTTGCAAGTTTACAGGTATTACTTTTGTGGTCATTGCTTCTCAATGAATAGTACCATGTATCCAATTTGCTTCGGAAGTTACCATTATTCAGAAAAAAGTATCCATCTTTAATTGTTTACATTTTTGTTTTCTTTCATTAAGATTTTCGGAATATGGTCGAATGGATGCGATGATGCTCCTTTTTACATTTGCACTTTGCCCCAAATCATTGTCTAACTAACAAAATTCATCTGTCAAAGTTTCTATAGTTGAAAGAATATGCTTTAGATCGGCCATTTTCATAATTCTTGGAGTTTCTTCTTCTTCATTCTTCTGTAGCTCTATGTTGGGTCCACAGATCATTCAAGTCTAACGGTTTGTGGAATGTTCTCTATTGGTCTAGATATGACCAATCCCAACGAGCCACGATACCACGTCGTAGTGGACTTGTATCTTGCCAGAATTGGTCAAATCTAGCATAAGGAAAATCAGGGAATTACACAGTGAAACAGAGAATGGCACCATGGTGTTATTGTGAATCGGCATAAACCGAGGGCTACCTGTAGTACTATATTTGCATATCTTTTAAATAAAATAATGTCTAACAAAGTTTGTTTCTGCAAATTTATAAGATCTTGAGTATGGTAAAATCTATTTTGAGATATTATATAATAAAATAAATTATACCTTGTAATAATGTAAACAATTGAAATTAACAAAATTATAGGACCGTCAAAGGAGGACTTGTGGATGCTTCTCCAGAAACATTGAAGGAGTACGAAGCTGAATTGACCAAGGTGAAGAGCCAGTATTCGGGAGGAAAGGACGTGGATATGTCAAAATTTCCAGCATTTAATTTTGTTGGTAAGTTTTTTAGTGAATTTCCTGTAAGAACTGATTGTCAAAGTATGCATTGCTTTGGTCTAAACATCTTTATTTCATTCAGTTCAATAGCCATAGATGCTTCAGTATGACCAGTAAATATATATTAATAATAATGTAAATTACATATAATTTTACACCTTTTCTTTTTTAAAGAATTGACAAATCACTTTATTCATGCTTATAATCAATTAAAAAGAAAATGACTAAAACACCATCAAAAGGAGAGCACTTCAAAAACCTCATCTACTAATTACCTTTGGTCTCAGAGTATACTATGTTGATGCAACAAATCCCTGATTTTTTTTATCCTCAATCAAAGTTGTTAGTGACTTACAGTATTTGACACCCTGTATATATTGTTGGAAGATATTTTGTAAAACAGATGTATTTTTGAATAGAAATTGATGAAATTTAAATGCACTACACATTATGGACACGTAATTACTTTCTGTAAAAAAAAAATCGCTTATTGAAAAAATTGAACACAAATGATGCTGAACTGATTATGTAATAGATTTTTATAATAATTAACTAAAATACACCATTAAAAAAGTTATTTTAAAAAGGGGTTCATGGGCAATACAGGACTGTAATCGATGCTCGAAACCAGCGACCACATTTGCCGGAACTTCATCAGGAACGGCCTGAATCTTGGCTTTGATAATAGATTCAAGCTGTTTGAGGTTGGCAATAAGGTTCCAATAAATCCTATCCTTGAGATATTCTCCCTTTGAGAACCTTTTAGCAATCACTCTTGACCCGAAATGTGTTGAAGACATCTTCAATTCGATGAGGAGCTCAGTCTTGTATGAACCACAGTTTGTTGATGCTATCCTCATTGTAAGACGACAAACTCAGATTTTGGGGAAACCAAAAGCCTAAGTTTGTCTGTTGACATATATCAGATTCACTTGAATCGCAAGAGATATTATTAGCTTTAAAGTTAGATCAGTTCTATTCAAACCATTTGTTCATTAACAATTGCATATCATCTTTTGTGTGTAATTCCCAGGTAAGGGGAAAAAAATTTGAGAATAACCTTCTCTCTATAAAAAAGATGTTATTGTTAATTGTCTACTTGGACTTTAAACATCAGTATTAAGTCCTATTAATAAGTAAAGTCCAAGTAGACAATTAACAATAACATTAGAATTTAAGGACAGTAAGGCTTTTACAGTTATTATTAATCTGCTTTATTGGAATTTTTCCAAAGTCTTATATAATTGCTTTAAATTTTTTTGCAGATCCTAAAATTGACCCCATCAATCTAGAGAAGAAACAATAAAACTTATTTTAGATGTTAGAAATTTGTAAATTCAGAAATTCTTGGAACAATATAAATAAATGTAGAAGGTAATATTTTGGAATTTGAGTATGTTGGTACTAAACAGGTCAGACACATTTCATTCTTATTTTTAATTAAAAATAATTTATAAAACATACAATATATACATTTTATTTAACGAATCCATTCATCTTGTAAAGCCAAACTGCTGTCTCTTCTAGAACTGGCAGCTGGAAAAACCTGAATGGAAAACAAAAGATGTCAACATCCTCGTAGAAAAAGGGTAAGATTGGGCAGACAATAAACTTACTGTGATATATTCAGGAACGTGGCTAGGGTTCTGCTTAAATCCTCCAGAGAAAGTAAGCATCTGAACTTTCCTGCACATTCACAATATCTAGACATGTTTGGTTGTTTTATCTGTAAATATACAAATACAGAATATTTTGGGGCAAATTTTTTAGCCTAAAAAGATTACTTCTTATGCTGAAAAGTACAAACATTGTCATGATTGGTGTTTACTCAACAAAATTCCCTCCCATTTTGTCAATTTACAAGGACCATTCCCCTTTATTAGGATAATAGAAGTAACTGCTTAAAAAACTCTTCATTAAATTAAAAACAAGCAAAAACACTAAAGCTAGCTAACAAGGGGAGGCTCAGATTTGGAGTACTGTAGGTTCTGCTTATAAGTTTTCTACAACTTTTGAGAAAATTAGGTATTGCAAGCTTTTAATTTCTCACTATAAGCAATGATGATTTCCAGTGGAAATCCTCATTGCTGACTTGGAATGTTTGTCAAAAAAATGCTAATCAGGTTTTGGATGTAATTTTTGCATATAGGAAAATTGACCTGATGACGACAAAAAAGTAAAGAATAGCCATGCTAATAATTGAAATGATACATTGCTACACTGGCCGATGACCTCTTTGTAGACCTTTAGGATATACTCCAAAATGGTTGATCTGTTATTTGTCAGATGTAACAAATTTCCACGTTTTAGGTAGCAGTGTAATGTCATCTGCATTTGCATTCAAGCACGGCTACCTTAAAACAGCAAATATGCATAGTTTAAGTTTATTGAAATGGGGTATATAGGGTCCGGGAATGGATTAACAGAAAAAATTGATTTGGCCTCCTAGAATGAATGCCCAGTTTCAAAGAAATAACATTCAAATTTAAGCTTTGAATTTTCAACAATATTACCTATTTGGTGCCAATTTTTTTTTTTTTTGGGTAAAGTATTTGACTTGGGCTTTCTTTTCTTCTTCAAAAAGAGATACGTATACCTGAAGATGATTAAATGATATTTACTATTGCTTACCATTCTGCATTTTGTGCACTGCAAATCTTGAAGCGTGTAAGCCATGGTCTTCTTCTGGATGCATTCAATCAGCATTGCCTCCACGTCCAACCGGTTGTAGGGTTCCTGACAGACGCTGCACAACCATTCTCGCCTGTTAAAGAAAGAATTAGATGGTTTGCCGATTCCATATTTCAAAATGATGATCCAACTTACATTCTGGTCGTTGCATTGAGTTCGAATGTGTCTCGACACAAATCCAAGTCGCTGCAGTGATTGCATGATTTGCAAATAACCTAAAAGTACAAATTGAAAATAATTAATATCGAGAACATTCCATAAATTTGGAATATTTGTAACCACGATTACAAGTAAATCTTATATTATTATTATAAGTGCAGAGAGCCCAAATGGTTAGGAGATGAAATTTGGTACATAGAATACTGTACATTCTCATGACATACCCTAACTAAGAAGAGATTTCCCCTACAAGGGAGAGGTTAAGGATTACCCTGAAGAACTCTGCTTCTAATGTGGTTTTTTGTGTTTTTGCAGAAAATCAAACACATTCTTTAATTAGTCTAGGAAAAGAGAGACCTAATTCTTGCACCTGGTGAAAATGGGTAAGATTGGCAATAATATTAATCTTCGTTATCGTTCTTTTTGCCCAAGCAACACTGGACTCATCTGATAGTATTTAAAATTCATTGATCTCTGAGTGAGTTCTCAATAGTGTGTGATAAGTCCTAAAAGAACCAATTATAGTGCTCGGATAATTGTTTAGTTTGGAACTTTTCTGCATTTTTGAGTAATACAGGAAAAAGTATATACAAGCAATTTATTTTACCTTCCCGGCTATTATATACACATAACAAGGAAACTGTCAAATTTTGAAAAAACTATCACATTTTGAAATTTTCGAACCCAAAAAAGTCAAAAAAATTCCGTGTGTATATGTTAGTGTCTATTTTCTTTACTATCTCAGGGCAGGGTAATGATTAAGAAACAAAATTTTGTACGATTACAAGTGGCGCTTCAGTTAGTTCTGAGCAAAATTGCCAGATTTGGCTTTTTTGCGATTAAGAATATTATATAGAAAAATAAAATTTTTTTAGTCTGTCCTGGCAAGTTCCTTTGTTGAACAATTCGTTACAGTCTATTTTGCAGATAAAATGAGTGTTCTCCACATAGTAAATTACAGTGTATGCATGTATTTTGAGTGTTGCGATCTTTATTTTCAATCAGTTTACAGGCGTGTAAATGGCCGAAAACATTATTGTGAGTAAAGTTATTCCAAGCTGATCTCGTTCTCAGTGCCAATAATTGTGGTGCAGAGTAATCTTCACCAAACGAGACTCTGGCAGCTATAGCACCATCATGAAGCTATCACCCTCTCGTACAGGAGATCATTATTGACTATTGTAAATTGGTACTTCAATAAACTGTGATAAATTAATTAATTCAACTGCGTGATTAAGTTATTCCCTTTTCTCCCCTAAGCGAAGCAGATTTATTCTTATCTCTATTTATCAACTCTTAACATTGAACATAAGACTGTATAAAAAGTGTTCGAGTTATATGGCGCATCTGAACTCGTCTGTAAAAAAATTGGCATATGGTATGCAAAAGGTTGGCCACCCCTGGTCTAAGGGATATCAACGTTATTAAATTTTGGTGGGAGATATGATCTCTTTCTATGTCATATCTTGAATGGAGTTGGACTTTACATTCTACTTCTTATTAGCATTTACAATTTTATTTAAAAAAAGAAATCTCTTCTAACTTCAAAATTAAGTGTTTTTATTATAGAAAATTTTTATATTATGGCAATCTCATACTATTAATAAATAAATTGTGTGACACCATCTGTTATGATTAATAATAATAATAATTTATATTAACAGCCAAGAAAGTTACACAACTCGTGGCTGGAGTTTTTCTTAAATTGCTATGAATATCCAAAGAGAGATATTTTCAGAAATTATAAAGATAATTTAGGAAAAATCTGACAAATCACGAGGACAACTGAATATAAATATTGTGTACTCTAGTGAAATTTGCATTTGTGATTCTGATCTGATCCTCTCAAATGTTGAGAGTTAATATTATAATTGATGTCTAGAAATATTCAAAAATGGAATCAGCCAGATCGACTTATCGTACTGTCATCGTTTTAGAATTTGGTCCTTTCATTTTCTCTCTCTAACAGGCACTAAGAGGGCTTTTCCCCCAGGCCCATGAATGGGGTGGTCCAACATACCCGGACAGATCACCCACAAAAATTCCCTGGTCCCCAGAGCAATAGGTTTGCACCTTTACTGCCTTAGCCATATGCTGGCTAAAGAATTTATCAAAATGTATGACTGTAATCTTTCAAAAAAGAAATGGAGAGGTTTGTTGTATAGTTAGTTAGTTTTTCTTTAAAAATTTCAATAAATTAACGTAAATCAAAGAAGTAATATACTTAAATCACCAGTAAAAAACTTTACCTCTGGAAGAATAAAAGATTGACAAGGTTCGCTCCACTCTGCCATACTGCTGAATTCTCCCACTCCGACCAGTCGCAACAGATCCCTGCGTACTTTTGTCACTTCGCTGGCAATGTTGTGATCGAGCGACAGCACCTAGTTGTAGAAATTGTAAAAGTTTTAAGCAGATATCCTATGTTTTGTAACATTTATGGTAAATTTATATATAGAATACAGTTAAATGATATCTATGCTTGTGTCAAGCATAATTAATGCAGCTATAATTTAAGAATAAAGAAATTAAAATTTTGTGTTTCAATTCCTCAATGCAGAAATGTTGAAATTGGTAAAGACAATAACAAAGCATTACTTTCTATCTCTGTGGTGAGTTTTCTCCAATATAAACAAAACATTTGATGCTATATTTTTTTTTGTTTGTGATTTTCTGATACAAGGGCCTCCTCACATTTATTCTAATAGCTTTGGCCAAACTCACCTTTAAAGTTATTGCTATACATCTTTACAGTTGTAAGTAGAGATTTAAACACCTGGTGTACTAACTGATCAATTTAATTAACAAGATGAATATATGTCAAATGATTTGCTTTAAGTAAACCTCGTAACATATCTGTGAAATTTCACCACATACTGTAAATTGGTAGAATAGTGCCCTTTGCATTTCACTTATAACTGCATTTATTTCATTCTGATTAGTATCAAAAGTCGAGCATTTGGATTTACATACAGATCTGATATCTCTAATCACCTCAGCTTATCCCAACTCAAAGTTTAGATTTATTTTATTCAATTTTTTAAAGGAAGTGCATTTTGCAATATCACCTTACATCTGTCTCATCTTAAATAACAAACTTAGTCATATAACCAGTTCTTTATATAAACTGGTTATACGACAACTCAAATTCAACATCCTGCTATCATACAAAGAAGAAATTTTGTTAAAAGCTTGTTACATACACAATGTCTTTGTCATCTATCATAATAAGTCCAACCTAAGTGAATTTCTCAACCGGGTTGATGCAAATCCCTGCAGCTTTCTACTCCATCCAAAGCAACAAAATCACAACAAGTAAGCATCCTCGGTCATTACGTATCACTATGCAATAGCCATATCATAACAAAAGCATTCTGTAAATGTATGTATGTAAGATCTTCTCTTCATCCAGCTGCTCACAATCTATACATCCAATGACTAAATCAAGTAGAATATTTGAAAACTTGTGTAATATTTTTGGCAGTTAGTTATTCAGAATGAATTTTGATAGTGACTTTGCATATCTAAATAATTTAATGAGATAATGTGTTCTAAATTAGCAATGACAAACTCAAAGAAAATAATTTTCTCAACTTGGATGTTTGGTAATAAAATAAGATTTTATGTTGTGTGTTAAATCATGTACAATCATTTGTTTCAAATGATTCAAAAAATTTGATAAATATTAATATTAAATCTCCTTAAAATTGTCATTACATTAATAGTCAAGCAAAACCAAATGCTTTTTCCAGAACTTTAAAATTAAACATTTAAAAAAAGTACAATAATGAACCAATCAGTATGCATCTTTTATAATTTAACAATAAATCAATCTTACCAATAAAGAAGTTAATTCATTTATAAATGGACAAATTCTCTACATTTCTGCTCCAAATCCTTTAATTTTAGATCATCTGAGATGAAACATTGAGAATTTGGTCAAACAATTTTTCACTTATACATCAATGAACTTTATCAGTAAGTGTGATTTTCTTTTATACTTATTAAGAGTTGAAAGAGTGGCCAAATTATTAAATTTATCACTTGTTCAAAGTGAAAGAAACAATTAAAATTTAAATTGTAATGATGAACGTAAGGACAGTGTATTTCCTAGTTTTTATCCATAAATGAACATGCTCACCTTACACACAGTTTTGACAAATGCTAGAGCCGGACTGGTAGACGTTACGCAGATGCCGGGTAGAGAAGGAAAGACGTCGCCATTGTTCGAGCCAGACATCTTTTTATTTATCTTCTCTGCGATGCTAGAAATTTGAAATAAATCAGAATTTTTTGTAATGATTCATTTTTCTATTGACAAATTCAATATAAGCTACAGTTTCTGTAACAATAATATGAAAAAATTTATATTTATTTGTAAAAAAAACAAAAATAAAACTTGTGAAATAAATAAAAAATTAGAAACAAATGCAAAATTTCAAAATCAATAAAAACTTACAAGTATAATTTTTCAGACAAGTCGGTCTTTATAATTTCTTGAGAAAACAAAGCGAGTTCATCAAATACTTCTCCATCGTCATCCTCCTAAGTCAAAATATTTTGCAAATTAAATAATAACGCATTATGGCTGACGGCAAAGGCAAAGGCGAATCCTCAACGAACTTACCGGGTTCTGGGTGGCCTGCCGACACACGGGTGTTAATCCGGACCATCCTTCTCTTATCTCGCACGCTCTCGAATATACCCTGTGAATGTATTCTCCAATAATCATCTGCAAAAATTTTCAAAAAATCAATTAAAAACAATCACAAACAATAATATATCTTTAAAGTTAATATATCTGTTTACTATAAGATAGAAGAAAGAAAGATAGCCTTCACCAAAAATACTAGTTCCCATTAGATTGCCAAAGCTGAGTAGTGCTAATACTTTAGTAAAGAAAGACTCTGGCTGGAACAACAAAACAGGGAGGATTGGACTGGTATCTGATCTGTCTAATATGACTATCCAAGGTATAGGTATGCAACAATCCCATACCAGGTATAGATAAGTAGAATGAAAGGAAATTAATTTAACACAAGACAAATCATTATTCAAAAAGATTGTCAGAAGTAATTAGTTTAGTATTTATCTCAAGGGACAAAAAACTTCTTACATGAAAGTTCTCCTGTACGGCATTGGCTTCGGGTAAATACTTTGCAATGTTCCAACACATGTCTAATATAATCTATAAAACAATAAAATGCCAAATTTTATTGTCATTTGACATAAATGATTAATAGCATTTAAAATTAATTATCAATAATGGAATAAGACTCACTTCGGATTCTTCATTTGGCATGTCGTCCATTTTTTCATTCCTGTTAGCATTTTCGTTAGATTCTTCAGGAATGATACCTTTTATTCCACCAAAATTAACCTGACATTAAAGGTAAAATAATTAATGATGAAAGATTCTTTGGATCCTTGACATATTTTAAATTCTTTTAAGTAACGAATAAGAAGAAGAAACTGGTTATAATAATAATTCTGAATTTAATTGAAAGTTAAAATGTTTCAGAACTATTTAGTTCCGACATCAGATAGATCTCAAGATAACAACTAAGTAAGAAAAGAACTTGTCTCTAAAGTTAAAGTTAACTAATGTTTGTATACATCACTAGTGCATATTTCAAGTGCAATTTTCCAAGATATTAATATGAAAAATTTTAAGAAAAAAATTATTTCATGGTTTTAAATTATGTTTAATATAAGTTTGATTATTTCTAAAACAACCAATACAATTTGCAAAACAGTTAAAATAATTTTAATATTTAAAGTAGTGCGCTTACTTGATCGAGCCACAGGAGATATTCCCAACAGTTTCGAACGGTCATGTCCAAACCGTGAAAGAGTTCCTTGTTACGAATGCTGTTTACAATGTATTCGGCGTACGCCAGAGCGTTGGCGACGCTGTGACGTTTCGTACACAAAATGAACCGGTTGTAAGTCGCGTGGACCACCACTGCACCCAGACGGTGAAATTCTGCTATCAGCTGTTTAAGAAAAAAGTGGTTAATAATGTTCTGATTAATTTTAACATGATATAACAAAAGAATACTATGTTAATAAGTAGGATTTTAATTATCATTTTTAGTAGATAATAAAATAACTTTAAAGAAATTCAAAAAGCAAAGTTTGATTCTATCATATGTTATAATAAATTCACCTAGAAAACATATATTACCTGTGTAAACATTTTCTTCATTAGATTGTTAAGAATGTGCTTTAATGCTGGTTCATACAACAGAGCCTGAGGACAGCACAACCACCTGAAAAATGCAATCTTCATTTTTATTTTCTATTTTAATAAACAGACTGTCTTTCTATTAGTACTGACGAATATAAAATTAAGGTACAATCTTGATAGGGTATTCTCAAATTGAAAATATTTAAGAGGTCAGCTTACTAAATCTCATTAGCTTATTATAGCAATGTAATAAATACTCAAATGAAAATTTCATAGACTTGGGCAGCACTCTTTGAAGAAATGTTGCATTTCCAAAGTTTTAAATGGCATCGAGTATGATTGCACTTAGGAAGACGTGAACATCAAATCCAGTATTGATTAGCATAGTTTTAGTTTACTAAGATTAAAACTAAAACAGTGGTAGGGTTGATTTAGAAAAGACTAACATGCCAAGTGCAGAGGTTTCTGACTTTGATACTATGGAAAACAGTGATATATAGCTTACTTTACTTACAATAAATGCTAAGCAAAGTCTATTTATTCAGTATTTGTCATATCCAGTTGTCTATTTAAAAAAAAAAACTAGATGAGCTGTAGAAATTAAGATGTATCTTAGATTTCGGTAAATACAGTACATGAATGTATGAGTATTTTATTTTTTCACTTTTTCCTTTCGAGTTCATTTCAATAAATATAATAAATACTATGTACTCAAATTTTTGTTTTAAATTCCGCGACTCTTCCTGACCAACTTTGAATAAATTTCCCGACCCTCGTGTCCCTTACAGTACGGCACATTGACAAAATAAATCATCATTTGACTTACTATGCGCATATGCTATTGCTTCTCCAACTTTTTAATTAGTTAGTTTTACTAATTAACAGTTACACATTTTTATAATTGCTGAATTATTAAAATTAAAAATTAAATGTTTTATTAAATTATAGTAGCTTATTCTGTTATTAATCCATAAACATACATCTACGTGGTTTTGAAAAGAAGAAAAAAAAGTAATTATTTATTACTCATTAACAACTGTACAATCCATGTACAGAAGTATATATTTATTAAATTTATCCCTTAACATTAGCACTGTCAGAAATATAAAAATCTAACTTTTGCATTTAGAATATCTATAAGATATATAAACTATATAGATTTAGAAATAATAACAAAATTACACGGCTTATTTGTACTTTTCTGATTTCAGTTTGGCCTAAAACAATCGCTACGTTTTCGTCAGATAAATCAATATAGTTTTCACTATATTTCTTCATTAATAAATTCAAACAATTCCTGTTTAGTACATTTGTACACCATATCTTAACTCGACTCACATATACAAAATAAAACAACTCGAAATTCGCTTGCAAAATATGACGACGAAACTCCGAATCCAACGATGCACGTGGTTCTAAAAATAGCTTATATTTCAAATTTCTAAAAAAAATAGTGGCCACTGTTAGTTAACACAGACTAAAAAACACAAAATTCGTTTTTTTTTTATTGCCGGAAATGTAACGCTAAGTTTTCCTGAACTTCATTATCAGTTTTTGTACTTTGTAAATTTTTGGGTCCTGAAAATATTCTGCATCCCTTTAAATAAGTTGTATTGCAACACATTACTTCTTGCTGTCTGCAGATGGCTACATTATTTAAGCATATTGTCAGCAAAAAAATCAACAAGGCAGCCAAGGAGAAATTCTCTAACTTTTAACAGTTTCTGACAAATTTCCTGATTTTTCCTCACTTTTCCTGATTTTTCCTCACTTTTCCAGGAGCGTAGAAATCCTGTATGTACAAATCAAAACTTAAATTTTGATTTGTAAATCAATGTATAAAAGATATTTTCTCGTACCAGCTTGCCTGACTGAAAACTTACTTAAGCCAGAAAGTTTACAGAGTCCCATGTAATTCCAGCTTTTACAGTAAATTACTTGACTTAAATTAATTAATAAAATTATATTAGTTTGAAACACTGCATTAAAATAAAGTCTTAGTAAACTCAAAAATTAAATAAGATTTGATATAATAAAAAAGAAAAAAAAAATAGTCTTTTCTCAATGGAATGAATAGAAATAAAATAGAATTAATTTTAATCAATAAAGTTACCTGTAGAAATGAATCAACTGGTTGTCCGCAAAGACATTATTGTAAGCGGTGAGATCACGAACCCATCCTCCCACCATTGTCTTCAACAGACGAAAGGTGGCAGCGCACAGTACCGTCTCGTCGTAACTGGCCAGGGAGGTTCCGTGACCGACCATCATGTCTTCCAGGGACATGATTGGAGCCGCATCGAATGCAATGGTTGCGTTGACGCCTTCCGTTTCCGTCAGATTCTGACACTGTAAATAATCAATTCATTTTATTTTACTCCTAAATGAATAATTCCAGTTTACTTAAGAAAGCAATCATTTTTTACTTTTTAATTTCTATATTTTAATTATCATTTATTAAAAATTCTAAATAACTTTAAAACAATAATTTATACCCATTTCGAAACTGTAGTGAAATCTGTTCGTAAATATCAAAAATGTTAAAATGCTTAAGTGAAGTTATAATTTAATATATTAAATTATAACTTCATATATTAGTATTTAAGATTAATTATATTAATCTTAAATACTAATATATTAGTATTTAAGATTCCATTTAAGAGATTAGTATTAGATTAATTTTGGTTTTACTTTGACAATGTTTTGAACTCACAATTTTCCAAGAGGAAATAATTGATGATGTTAAACAAAACTAAAGCAAGCTCTGTTCCAGGTTTATACAATCTCTCTTCCTCTCTGATCAAGAATGCAGAACCAAAACTCATTTCTTATTTGCTAAGCTTATATAATGAAGTTCTCGATAAAAACAACATCCCTGCCGACTGGAAGTTAATTAAATTTATAGTGATTTTTAAGAAAGGAAACCAAGACAATCCTAGCAGTTACAGACTGATCACATTATTGTTTCTTATATGGAAAATATTCATACCAATACTTACTAATTGTTTAATCAAATGGCTTGCAATGAACAACATACTACATTCTCTTCAATTTGAGTGGATCATCAAATTTTTCTTATGGGAAAAGGTCTTTCTAGATGGCTTCATTCTAGATAATATTTACATCTGCTTTTTACAGTATGCCGATGACGATGTTTTATTGTCAACTGACCTCTACGTAAATGAACAGAAACTGAATTTAATGGTGACTTATGCTTGGAATTTCAAATTTGCTAACTTTTTCATCTCACTTACTAAATATAAGGAAGAAACTTTGGCATAGGATCACAGCAATTATAGGTTTCGCTAGTAGAGTGAAAAATTCTAATCTCAGTCTTCGTAAAAAATTTCGTAATTTGCCGCTTGAATCGGGAATGTTATTTGGTAGTCAATTCTGGGGCATCTTTCGGCTGAATAATTTGTGGAAATTACAGATCTTATTATAAAGGAAATTATTTTATCTTAACTAACTGGTATCTTTTTATGCTGTCAAAACTGAAGATATAACTGGGATTATAGATATAAAAATTACAGTGCTCAAGCATTGTTTACAATTTATTTGGAACTGATTACATGATCCACTTTTTTGTTTTGGAATAAAATGCATTTAAAATATTAAAAAATCTTATATTTTAACAAGTGGAATAATTAGTATTCAATATTAGATTAAGTCTTGAACTTAACTGATTATTCACTAATGATAATATTCAAGATGTACTTTAAAGAAGTTCTTATTCAATTTCATTAGACAATTATCATAGAGAACTCACTTCAAATCTCCTCAGCCAAATTTCATTTGTGGTACCCAAAATTGGTGCACCTTTGCAATCCTCTAATGGTTTATGATAGGAACATTAACATTAAGAATTGTTTTATACGACTACATTTAAAATAAATTCATTTTGTTTGAAACATCAGAGATTCTGTTAATTCAAAAAGATTTATTTCAATTTTGAAAAGCCAATATATATTCATTCCAACATTTATTTAATTGTGTAAAATTTTGGATATATAAGAGTATTTTTATTATAAATTTGGCTGCGTTTCTTTATGCAGCGAGTGTGTAGCGAAATGACGTCATGAGCAGTGTTGGCCATTTAGAAACAGGTTTCAGAGTGTTCGCTGTAAAGCGCTTCTTGAGCGCTGCATAAAGAAACTCAACCTTTTTAACTTATTATTGTAATGATTGCAACTTCAACTGTTATGTAAGTTATTTTTGTAGTGACTTTTCAGTTAATACTTGATTATAAGGTTGTAATGTTTAAAAGAAGTTTTTATTAAATGTATTCCCCTTTTTCAAGAATGACTCACCCTTTACAAGAATAAATAAATTGAATAATAATAAAAATGACTTTTTCAGTTTAAATCCCATATTACAATGATTCATTACTATAAATCCCAGTAAATGGTTTGCCTGATTAAAAAAACATAAAGAATAATAGTCTTTGTGCAACTATTACCAAGGAAATTATAATACAGTAATTAAACAGATTACACATGGTGCATATATACAACTAGTGCAGAGTAACTAGTATATAGCAGAACAATATATAGCAATACTATTTCTATGATGACAATGATGACGTAATAGCATAACTTGAATAGCTTAAATTGCCATAATTCAAAATTCGTGAATTAAATTATTTTTGCATAAATATAGTTCTTCTAAATATCACTTTATCATAGACATAGACACTAACAATCATGTAATACAAATATTATTATTTTACATCTAAAAATAGAAAAAATAATTGCCTTTTTTTTTTTTATAAATTAACAGAATTCATAAATTTAAACAGCTAAATTACATTATATTAAAATTCCATTGATTGGGCTAAGTCAGCATTTCTGAACCTACGGTCCATGATGATGGGACAGGTAGTCTGCACGAAGAGTTAAATTAATAAAGAATAAAACTTTGTTCAATGATGATTCATTTTTAATAGCTTAACTCAAATTTAAATAATTTTGTTTTCGTACTATTATATAAAATATTCTTTTAGATTTATTATGTCATAAATGGCACAGTATGTCGTAGAATCTTTCGCACATTTTACTTATTGGTCCTTGGGCCTAAAAAGGTTGAGAAATGATGGACTAAGTCATCTTCCAGTGGCTGACAATTTTAGATCATTCCAAATAACAACAATATGGTATATAACTTCTAGTGCCACCGCTTGAAACTATATTATTATAATTTAATACTAATAAAATCTCAAAGTTTAAATTCAGTTTACAAGAAATATAAACTCTTTAGTATTATTAAAAGAAGGAAAAAGTGACAATAAATTAGAATAAACTATTATATTTACCTGAAGAAGTGCATTTACAGCCAATCCTTCTATTTCTAGTTCAATGCAGACTGAAGAATACCCACCGGCCTTATTTATTTCTATCAGACTGGTCGATTCTGCTTCCGCCAATAATCTGGGATACAATTAACTATGAATTAGTCTACTAAGTAGGCAAAAATCACATTTTTAAAAGTAAATAATTTTACCTGTGATCGTCGGCCTCTTTACCTCCCAGATCGGGGCGATCGTTCGGAGAACAGAACAGGATGTAGTTTTGCTTCTGCAGGTAACGTGCGTAAAACAGGTCAGTGCCAAAAAGAGCCATATCCCTGGCAACATTTCCTAACGGAAGATGGAAATAGCGACACTGTTCCAATACAGTCTGAAATATTTTTAAAAATTCAAGTTCAATCAGAGAATATGAAATAATTATGATTAAGAAAAAAAACTGTTACCTAAACATATACAAATAAATATTTTTGATAAAAACAAATTAACTTTTTAGAAAATATTAGAAGAATAGAAAATTTCCTTCTGAATCAATCTGGTAAGAACAAAATAATAATTTAAAATTATTATGTTCTTACCAGAATAAATCCATTTTTTAAAAGATATTTTGATTCATTTAATAAAGTTTTTTAAATAAACTATATTTAAATACTATTTATTATATTCAGAACTCGTATGCTAAACCGTTTCTTGAGCAGCAGGACATTAGCCAACATGACAGCTTCAAAGTAAGGTACTGATGAATATAAATAGACTAAATCAAGTTTACAAAAACAATATGATTTTGGTAGTAACCATCCAACCACACTATTAATAATAGTTTTAGCGTCTAAAGCAGAAGAGATCATAAAGTTGGAGCAAGGAATTATAGTAGTTAGTGACCAGCTAAAGCCTTTTCTAAAAAATATGTCAGGTGTGTTCTTTTGTTCACTAACAGACCACAGGGGTCAATTTAGCTTACGGGTTTTTACTTTAAAAAATAATCTGAAGCAAGCCACATTCACAGATGATCCCAACAGACCACTCAATTCTGATGATATTCAGGGAATGAGATGATTCTTCTGATCTTTCTTAAAAAAGTTTCAGAAGGATTCGTATTCAATAAAATAGAGCTAGACTATGCAAGGAAATAATTTCCTCTACACAGAAAATCACTGTTCCTACACAAAATAAATCTCTCAACTTGTCCACTTGACCAGCAACTTTGTTAGTGACAAAAAAAATAATTGTTTTTGTTTTAACCACCAATATCCCTGTCATCAAAAAGTATTGAGAATAGTTCAATAAAATACAAGATTTGAATTTATTCATCAAAATTTATTTTGTCCCCCTTCAAAGTAATCTCCTCCTAGTGTGATATGCCTTGTATGACATTTTTTCCAATCCTCGAAACATGCTATAAAGTCATTTTTGCAAAACCCCTTTGGGACTTGCAGTGAACTTATGGCACTATTTTATGGCATCGACTCAAAACGGTGATTACAAAACAAATTTTACTCGAGAAAACAGGGAAAGTCAGGATGCCGTATCAGGTGAATAAACACCTCGTGGAACCATATTTATTGAATTTTCGCCAAAAATTCGCAAACAACAAGAGCATTGTGAGCAGGTGCATTATTATGGTGCAAAATCCACAAGTTTTCTTGCTACAAATCAGGTCATTTTCTATAAATGAGTGTTTTGCTCATTCATAGCAAATGACTTGATTTATTTGAGTGATTTGCTCATATGTTCATATAAATGAGAGAATCACTCAAATAATATTCTTTATCAACTGTTTGGCTGGTCAGAAGGAATTTGTGATGCACAACACCACTATCTTGATTTTTGACTGACTTTGACATGGTCTTTTTGGTCTCGCTTTATCTTTCGAGCACCATTCACACGACTGTTGAGCTGTTTTGATATCAAAAGCATAGATTCATGTTTCATCACCCACAATGACGTGCTTTAAGAACGATTCGCCTCGAGAAAGTATTTCCTTAGCCACTTGAACACTTTGTTGTTTTTCGAAAAAACTTTTCGAAAAAACATTTTCAGGATGACTTGAGAAGTGATGCACCACCAGTCCAAACAATCTTCTAACATTGTTGACAAGATCTAAATGATACTGGAACATGTTCGATGACCTCCCTTATTGTTAAACATCACCATCAAGCACCATGCCTCTGACTTGAGCAACACTTTGTTCATCATTTGAATTGAATGATCTACCAGAGCGTGGTTCATTTTCAATGCATTATTCCTTGATAATCTTGTATTATATAAGGTATAAGATGTTCAAGGAATAGACTATTGTCATCGAAGACTTTTTGCATTTCCAACATTTTTGTAGTAGTAATTCTGTTGTGAAAGCAAAGTTTAATGCATAACCTTTGCTCAATTACACTTGAAATTTTGAAAAATTGCTGGCACAAAAAATTATTTACACACAAAACAAGCATTTACAGGTAACCCCTGTATAGCACAGATTCACTTTAACACGGTTTGAGAATTGGGTAAAACCGTCATACAACATGAAATGTAATAACTTTTCAAATACTTAAGTACTAATAGTTCACGAAAATAATAATTTTCGTGAACTATTAGTACTTAAGTATGTAAATTTTCTTTTCCGCCTTCTGTCGATACACATAATCCTTCTTGAAACTTGTTTCGATATTGCCAGATCACGACGCTTCTGATTTTGTGTTGCCAGATGTTTTCCCTTATTCCATACTTGCTTTATTCTTCACAAGTGCTTAGCACCATATAAGCAAATTTATAAAGATCTTTTAACTAAAAGCAAGCAATTTAAAATAACATATTTTTTGCAAAAGGTAGAGCATGGATCTGAAGATAATGCAGAAAAATGCTCAGAAGATAAGGATATCTTGCCAAAAAGAAAACGCCCTCAGTTAATAGTGGTTAGTGATGACGAAGAAAACATTGTTTAATTTATATTAATATGTATCGCTTAAGAAAATTTTAATAAAGATATTTATCTTAGCATGTTTTTTAATTTTTTGGAACCTAACCCCCCCTTTTTGTACTAGTTCTTTGTTTCGCATAACAAAGAACTAGTACAAAAAGGGCAATTTTTTGGAACATAACTCCGGTGTTATATGGGGGTTACCTGTATTTGCAAACAAAAATAGATGATGACGTATGGATTGCTGCTAGATATCAATGAAAGTCATACCAAATGACAAAAAAATGACAGCACCCTCTTGCACACAGGCATTTGAAATGAACCATTCCTTCCCAATATTTTTTGATCACTGTAGTACCGGTATTTTAAGAAATTGGAGTTATTTTAATTATTTATTTAAATTTACTTTGCATTATTAAATATATTCACAATAAATAATAAAAAGAATTATACTTACAGATAAATACGTTTCAACATTTAAAAAATGTCTAATCATAGTTTTGGTGCCAACTTTCTGCCAATCCATTACTTGAAACAGGGATTCACCATCCTGAATGTGCACGGGAACCAGAGGAAATTCGGCAAATGACGGCATCAGAATACAAATGTCGGTGCAGTCTTAATAAATATTTAGAAAGATGAGAATGCATTAAAACATTAAAAAAATCCGAAATAGATTTGCCGTACCATGTAGTGACTGAACGGCAATCATTGTTGATCCTCTTTTTTCTGCCTTGTATGTCTGTAGTTGTCGTTGTAACAGTCTATAAACTTGGTGAATGTCCGTTTCCATTCGAACATCAAATGTGTAGTTTGACTCTGGTAGAAGAAAGTCTGCTGTACCTTCTTTCAGTCTTTATAAAAAATTTACATGTTAATAAGAATATAACACTTTTTAATTAATACAATTTCTTTCAGTATTCATCAAAATTACAAAAATTGTAATAATTAATATTGAAACCCAATTTAACTTTTAAAGATATTTAAAGAAGCTGAATATTTTCATCTTCTTTAAATATCATTCAAAGTTAAACTATTGAATTAGATATGGATTACTATATGAAGATCTATATATTAGTAATTAAATAGAAGATTGCAATACTAACTTCTTACTGTGTTCAGCATTATACACAGAATTCAGATTCGGCGTCTGGTTATTTCTCACGGTATCGACCACAAATATGACGGCTTTCTTAGAAGGAGGAAGAAACAATCCAAAAATTGCTTTATGACCACTGTAAAAATATTTTAACATTCAAAATTATTGGAGCTGTGGGAATGTTTTTGCTTAATGCTAACTATGAAGATGTTTATAAACTCCACGGTGTGAGCAACACTATCGAAGAACAATGAGCAAAACAATGATGTCATTTCGGAGAGAAAAGAAATGACTTGCTGTCACCACATGTTTCGATGATGCGAAATAATTACCAATGCATTGTGTGTCTATTCCTTATGTGAATTGTTTTTGTCTACAAATCATTTAATTGTAAAAAATGTCTTACATCAAGTATGGAAAAATATATGTTAATTCTAGAAGTGACAGAAGAGAGAAGAAACAAAGGCACAAAATGTGCTAAGATAGAAAGATTCATGAAAGAGTATATAAAGCTATACTGACTTTTCTTTTAATAACTACTTTAGACTAAATCGGTGTATAGTTGAAGTAAGTACATTAATAACTGCAAACTCTTTATTCCCACCTAAAGTGAATTTAAAGTCTTAATACATAAAATAAAGAATTTTGGTCTCTTCTATGGTGGCTGAAATCTTGAAATTTAAATTTTCTTCTGGTAGCCATCAGACTGCAACAGCTCTAAGGACTGTTGAAGATTGATGAAGCTACATGGCTCAATAGTCATGTGATTTAGGCATTTCCATTGCTAACAGAGAGGACTGGAAATGCTTTGTCACAAACTGTGGTGACACAGTAGAGTTTAGAAACATCCTCCATTTCTATCGTTGCATTGTGTGTGCCCTTTCATCTTCCATGACAACTTGAGTTGTTTTGTTATCCTAACAGAAACAATTCACGCAGTCATATAACTCCTTAGTCAAATCAGACAATTGGTTATTGTAATAACATTTAATCACAACACAAATTTATGCATTCTATTATTACATTCTATTGTAATTAATGCAATATGTTTACTTTACCTTGCATGATGATAGAGATACAAATATTTTAAATTCCCGGGTTCTAAATATTTATGTTGAGCCAACGTACGAAATTCTAGATGTCTTAATTCAAAAACGTCTGTCTCCTAAGATTCAAAATAATTTACAAAATTAAGATTTACAAAATTTTAAAAGTTTATAGTTTCTAAATTTTCTAAATCCAAAAGTCTTACTTTCGCTGCATAATGCTGAACAAATTTTCTGGAAACACTACAGATGCAGCCTAATTCGACTAATGATCGGAATTCTAAAGGAACCTGAGTCTCGTAAATTCCCTCGATATTTAGCGTAGACAATTCAGCCATAATTTCACTAAAATAATAAAGTTTTCAAGTAATTTTTGGTTAAATAATTACTGTATTTGTTCAATTGTAAAACACATCATGAGCTTGAAACAATATTATACGGTTTTATTTTTAAAATAATTAATTTTATTAAGTTTTAAATAGTAACAAACTAGAAAACCAATACAAATGCAGTAAAGTAGATAAATTTTGGCAGCTCTACTTCCATACTCTTCTTGTATGTATAAGTATTTCATTATAATACTGCATCATATTGTCTTCTCAAAGGTATTTTAAACATTAAAAAAAGTTTCAATTAAACACTCATTATTAAGGGTCAAAGATTTTGGCTAGAGAGCGCAATGGATGTAACGCAGAAGCATAAAACACAAGTTACGAATTCTTTTAAAACACTTTCAAAGTGACTAATTTGTCTAATTTATCTAATTTTGGTATTTTTGCTCTTTATTCACTAATTCCTTTGTTTGCATTTATTTACTTTAAATTTACATTTTATTTATCATCCATTATCAACAATTAAATAATTTATAAAATATTTTTTGAATTCTCTAACATATTAACAATCAAAAGTTGAAACTATACTTTTGACTGGTTGGACTACTTCAACTACAGATAGGTCAAGCTTAAATTTCAAAATTAAACTGAAAATTTTAAATATCATGCCATGATTGGTTAGAAAACATTCCTGTTCACTGATGTTATAAAAACAGTATAAATATACAGTCTCCAATGTAAAGGAATTATTCCTCTGCTTGAATTGTTCACCATAATTAAGTTAGACCCATATTTGTTTGTTCATTTTGTACCATATAAAGTATTGAGACTACAAGCTGGAAAAAAAAAGTCATCAAGAGCACTTTTAAAGAAAGGATGGAAAAAAATACATGAAGAGCTATACAGCAAATGTTTAATATACTTGTTTAACTAATAAATGTTTGGCTATACGAACAAGATGATAATCTTTTACAACACTTGTTAAAAAATAATTTCTTTACATTGGCAACTGTAAGATGTCTTCAAGATTGATGGAAAACAGTTGGATATAGTGGAGTACACCTATCTTGGCAATAAAGTTTACATCCGACCTGGAATGCTGAAAAGAAATTAAGATTAAAATTGCCTAAACAATGGCAAAATTCAAGGCAATGGACCAAATCTGGAAGAGCAGAGAGATCAGTATGAGAATCAAACTCAGTGTTCTTGAGACCTGCATTCTTAGTGGCACGCTCTATGGATGTGAGACATTGGCCATGAAGAAATTCCTCATCAAAAGAATCTTGGCCTTTAAAAAAAAAAAACTGCTACAGAAAACTATTGTGAATAAATTGGTCAGACAGGGTCAAAAATGAAGTAATTTATCAAAAAGTCCAATCCAAAGAAACCATCCTACAGACAGTAATCAGAAAGAAACTATAACTACTTGAGCACAAATGCAGAATAAACCCAGAAAGAGGATTAAAAACTCTGGTATTCGGAATCATAGATGGCAGAGCTCACAAAAAGTGAATTGATGACATCAGAGACTGGTGTGGAAGAGGCCTCCAAGACCTCTATCGTGCCGCATAGGATCGAACAATATGGAAGGAGCAGAGAAGGACTGCATTGAATTCTAATGGTCATTGGTCCCAATAGAATTGATTGATTGATTTGTTAAAAAAATGCATGTGAATTTCTTTTTATATACAATGGGAAGGAGTTTACTAAAAGCCAAAATTTTTGATTAACAGTTTAATTTGAAACACTGTACTATCTCAACAAAATAAATAAGCCTACTTTTAAAAAAATGCCTTAAAATTGCCTATAATTTAATTAACTTTTATAAATACAATGTGATAATCCTATTATTTTTAAAAATATAATAATGGCTTGATAATGGCTTTCAAAAATAGCCAAAAAAACTAGTTATGCACTTAAGTGTTTAATAATTGCTGATTTAAAGGTTTTTTCATACATTATAAATATATTTATATAATAAAATTCATTCTAACAAAACATTTCTTAATTTGACAAACTTAGTGCACATGACAGCATATACCATTGTTCTGATTTCCAGATTTTACACTATTGTAAGGTCTTAAAGGTATTTAGTCCCTTATCATATACATTTTTAAGCATTCTTTCTAGTATGAATGGAATTCTTTAATTTGTACGAGTAGTTCATTGTCCTATATGCAACCAAGCAATGCATAAGAGAATTTTTTATCTTAATAATAAGAAAATTTTATCACAAAACTACTAATGAAGACTGGCATATGTATACAAAATTCTTATATACTGTAAATCTAAGAACACATCTAAATATTTTGATTTTAAAAAGTTTTACCGTTTTGTTTTGCTGCCATTTTTCCCCCCCTGTTGAAGTTAGGTCGATTTTTATTTGACAGTCGTGTAGTGTTTAGTGTGGACTATCCATTTTATCTTAAGACATTTAATGCTTCTACAATGTGTTATTGTGATAAGAAATGTTTCCTGGATAAATTATGTCAAAAAGTGGTGATATTAGAGAGGTTGCGGCCGAAGTTTTCATGTCTAAAATGTGAATGTCGAACGTTGTCTGCCATCTTGTAAGCCTAGAAGTTTAACAATGGCATTTGGAATGTTGAACATGATTCCAATGACGTTCCAAATGCCATTGTCAAACTTCTAGGCTTACAAGATGGCAGCACTCAATGTTCGACATTCACATTTTAGAGATGAAAACTTCGGCTGCAACCTCGCTATTGACTGACGTCCTCATTCTCCTGATTTAACAGTTCCAGATTTTTTTCTTTAAAGAGAAAGAGCTATGTAAAAATGTCAATTGTAACTAAGTAACTGAAGGATGATATTTGTATTATTTGTTGAATTTCTTGACAAGAACAGTGTGAAATGATGAAAAATGTTGAAAGAGCACATGTTTGTATGCAGCTAGAGATTGCCACTTGGCCAATATATATTCCACATATAATTGGAAAGATTGAATGAATTATTTATTAAAAATGTATATTTATATTATTCATTTAAAAACAAAATAGTAACACTTCTTTTATGAAACCCTAAATAATATACATAACGTAATTATCTTGGTTAAAAAAGAATTAAAATTAAAAATAAAGAATATTTTCTGAATTTTATTCATGTTATAAAACTTGGATAATAACTAAGATGCAGCTGAAACTGTTTTGTTTTGTTCTGGAGGAAATTATAATCTATGCGAAATATTGTAACCATCTTACCTATTTGACTATACTTTATTTAGTGTATTAATATCAAACTATAGCAATCAATCATTCTAATATTCTGTCAACGTTTTAAACTTAATACAGTCATAAAATGATATTCTTAAAAGTATTACAAGTATCACCACAGCTGAAAGTTTTCCATCACAATCATCTACTTTAAAGAACTAAATCAATAATGTTTCTAGAATTTACTAAAAATGTATACAAGAAAATCTTACTTATTATGCTGCTGGAATACATCTTCTGGAATGCAATATTCGTATAAATTATAAATGGGCTGAGAACGGGGCAGGATGCGTGTCACCTTCCGACATACTGTAAAAATTCATTAGAATTATTTTGAGCAAAGATAACAGATGTGAAAATATAATTTAACATTTAATATTTACGCATATTTTCCGTTTCTTTGGGATTTCTATAATTGACGTAAAATATTCTTGGTACAATTAATTTTATCTGATGCAATTCCGAACCAATAAGAGCCCACAGACGAAATTCTCCGGGGTGTGCTGTTTCTGCAATCTAAGTGATACATTTTATCCAGACATTTAAATTAAATTGTTAATTATTTTAATAAAATTAATAGAATAAGAAATATATAAATTAAAATTATTATATTAAGGATAATCAATTTAGTTTAATTAACTGGGTTATTTTTAGATTATAATAAGAATGAATGAATCTGATCTAAAGGTAGGCAGCTAGTCTACTATACAGTATTAACAACTAGAAATTAAGCTAAGGCCAAATTCACTATTATAATCATTCTTATTAAACCTGAAAATCATTGTCATCATTCATCATCCTCTAATCATAATCCTCCATCATCTAATACTTTGTCAAGATCTTCATCTTATTTTCTATGTTTCCACATTTCTCCTTCTATTCAAGTTGTGTAAAATCCAATCTCACCATCATTTTGTGTCTATTTCTCTCTAAATTCTGTTCATATCACCACAGTATTTCTTCGCTCAGTCCATTTCACATACCCAAACACTCAACATGAGCTTTTCTCATTCTGTCCAACAGACTTAAGTTATTCTCTATTCTATTCCTTTTGGTTTTCCTTTTATTGTCCTTAAAATTTTCATTTCCATTATTTGTATTTTAGTACATCTCTTCCATCATAATATTAAGAAAAAACATTTATTATTCTAAGGTTATTGATCTGAATTCATGCTGGCTAATTATACATAATGACAGTTTGACTTTAACTACGTAGGATATTTATAGCTTTTAAGTAAATTCACTCCTAGCTTGCCCACCCATTATGGAATGATATTAAGTTTCCTTAATCGAAATATACATAAAGTGTGAATTAATAAAATTAAAAATACTTTAAATAAAAAAGGAATAAACTTAGAAGCTGAAATTAATGGTATAAAGTAAGAAAATACAGAAAAGATTTGTTAATGAGGAAATGATAATTATGATAATTGTCAGGGACTAATTCTGTACAATTCATTCTTTTCCTTTGTTATATCTATATTAGTGTTGTAACGAATAGTATATTCGGCCAGGAGCGTGGCCGAATAGCCAAATATTCGGCCCAACTATTCGGCTTGATTAACGCACATACGAAAACTGGCGCGCAAACCGCATTATGGCAAGGATCCTGCTCTCTATTGGCCCGCTGTCACTACGCTTCGCCAATCGCGTTAATTCTTGGCAGTTGTAGCGACAGACAAGAGTGTCATGGAAGTATGTGATAAATGATAATATCAAATGACCTACACTTGTAAATAACGGAAAAAGAACAGAGAAGGACCGTGAAGTGAAAATGTGAAAATAAATATGAAATTGAGTTGATAACATAATCAAACAAGTCGAGGCAGCTTATTGGCACGAAATTCACGCCCGTCAATGCTGAACAATTGTTGTCATAGACTTCGGAAAGCTAAATGCTTGTAATAAAAGTCACTTAGCGTGCACGGGCGAAAGCCTGGGGCCGTTCAGGCTATCAAGCTGTCTCGAATCTGTGAAATCATAACTGTGACTTATATCGATGTCCTATCTGTCTCTTTTCTCCGTTATCATCAGGCTGAGTCATGTAATTGTAAAATGGGAACTCTACGACGGAAAAGTGACGAATCGAAAGTATTGTGAGCGCGTATTATGATGTATGTGCATACATCATAATACGCGCTCACAATACTTTCGATTCGTCACTTTTACATGGATTAGAGTGATAGAGGTAAGAGAAAGGGAAGAGCATAGACGAGCGCTTAAAAAGGATAGGCAGGGTCAGACCCTCAGATATGCGACGATTCTCGAACAAATAGGTGTGTACGTGTGCTGATCTTTGTAATTGTAAATTGTGAATACATGTGAGTAATATTATTTTCTTTTTTATTTTGTGCATGTTTCAAGTTATAAATAAATATAAACAAACAACACTAACTCGATAACATTAAATCTAAGTACAAAAATGATTAATTTGCTGTGTTTTTGTTATTTATTACTCCTGTTTTTAGGTATTCGGCTGAATAGTGATAAAATATTCGGTATTCGGCCGAATAGTGAAAAATAGGCTGAATAGGCCAAATACCGAATAGTAACCGAATATTCGTTACATCACTAATCTATATCTATATATAAAAATGGACATGTATGTCCCTATATTTCACTTTTCTGCCAAAACTACACATTGCACATGAATGGTGTTTGTATGTGGTGGTAGCCCCAAGTCTCCATTCGTGCATAGGGGTAGTTGCGTCTTGATAGGTATAAGGGTGTGGGAGATATGAGGCTGAAAGTGGTTGAAAGTGGCTTTCTATTTCGAATGTTTTGTTCGAATTTGTTTGAATTTAATTCGAACAATGTTCAAATTTGTTCGAATTAAATTTGAACATAAAATTCAAATATTGGTTCGATTATAGAACGATTGTAAACATTCCAGAAACGTTGAAAATAGTTCGTTTGACTTGACGTGAACAGGAGACGTTCAGAAATAGAATCGGGACCAGATCTCTAATCAGAAAAAGAGACCTAATTCTTGCATTCTGTGAAAACGGGTAAGATTGGCTATAATGTAATTATCTTAATCTTCACTATCGTTACTTTTTGCCCAGCGAAGCGGGTCCTTGCAGCTAGATTCTAGATTACTTAGAAAAACAGTCTTTTATATATATAAA